TTGAATCAATTTATTTACAGCATTTATTATATAAATATTCAGTAATTATCCTATAAATTATTTTTATGATGATTTAATTATATAAGCCTATCATTTATACCAACATGATGTTTAAATATTCTTCAGTGCATTTTTATAATTACATTTTTGCATTTTAGGGCTAATTGCATATTTTTGCAATAATAGCCCATATTAATATATAATTATATTATTTATGCATAAAATGACTTTTTGCATTTCTATAATATTAAGTAATTATTTTTAATCATTTGAGTGCACAAATAATATTTTTTCTATTTATTAATTATTTTATAAATTATTTCTTGCTAAATATTGGGTATTTAAAAACTAGCCTAAATTCCTAATCAATTTCGGATCTAATAACCCAGCCCCAATTACCCAATACACCAGCCCATACCCCTGGCCCAAGACCAAAGAACCCTATCTAATACCCGGTCGCGACCCGTTAAACCACCCGATCCAAAACCCCTTTTAAATCGCGACCCACATTACACCCTCCCTTTTAATTATACCCAAACCCCTAACCCTAAATCATTTCTCACCGTCAGCCGCCCTTGAATCCTCTCATCTCTCAAACCTAAACCCTAGCCGTCTCCCCCAAATCACTCTCCCAATCCCACCTGACATGGGATTCTATGGCCGTTTCTTGCCATATATGATCTCTCCCTGGTACTGGATCCTTTTCTATACTGCTTGCCGAAACATGGCAAGCAGATCACACAAGAATCGAACCAAAAATGGTTTAGATCCTTAATGTTTCTGATTATTCCGTCTATATTCGTTATATGCTCTATTGTAAGTATGAATATTGCTATATCTCCTTTTGCTTCTTACTTACCCTAAATTAGGGTTTTCAGATCCCTTTGGATCGGACCAAAATTAGTTCGATTCTCTGATTTTTAGTGTTATTTGTGTCTATATTCATCCTATGCTACTGTGTTTATGTATATTCTATTGATATTTGTTTTCACTAAAACTAGGGTTTACCTATTTTTCCTAAATCTGATTTTATGGATTCTGCATGCTATGGCTTCCTTATTTATGTTAATTTTACAGTGTTTCCTTGTTTACTTGTTTAATTTCTACTACTATATAAACCCCTCCCCATTCACCTTTAAGACAAGACGGGAATCGTCAGTGTCTACTAAAAAACTGAGGTTATTGCTCTTTGTTCTCTAAATACTCTTATTCTATATTCTGGTTCCTGGCCGGCTGAAAGCCAAGGCCAGAAATTTTGGGTTCTTGCTACTGTGGACTTTGTTCTTTCTTGTTCTTCGCTTAACTGGTGAGTTGCTGAACTTTTGTCACTTCATTCCTATTTGCCTGTCATTTGCACATGTTTTCACTTCTGGAGATAGTAGTTTAATGTGTTTCCTGGGCTGTTCTTGCATGCAATTTTGATTGCTTTACTTCAATTTTAATTTCCCCCTAATCTTAACTTCATTATGTTAGTAATCTGAGACATCCCTGAACCTGATTTGAGTCGATTAATTTCTTTTTCAAGCTCATTTAGCCTATGAGTTGCAATTTGATAATATTCAGAACCTTTGCATTTTAGCCTCTCTTTAGTGTTTAATTTTGCTATCAATCTTGTTACCTGGGCATGCTTTCATATCCCTTTTAATAGATTAGTTGATATATATAGTCATTAACTATATAGCACATGTCTGCTTCCTGTCCTATTCTGAACTTGCTATGGTGATATCCTGCATAGGTAGCATGTTTGATCCTGTATGCTTCTGGTATGTCTTGACTTCCCAGTAGTTGCAATAATCTGTTCTCACCCTGTCTAAGTTATGTTGCCAGTCAATGTGATTCTTTCTTGTAACACTAGCATCTACTTAACATAATCTGAACCTTTTCCTTATTATGAGTTTGTGCATACCAATCATGCAAACCTGCTTGTTAATGTGTTACTACTTATACACTAGGTGTTGAACTTGTTCTTTGAATTTTTGCTAAGTCTGTTCTTAGAACCTAGAGCCTATTTGATTATTGCTCTATGTGCTCAACTTGACTATGTATAGTCCCAGCTATTGTCACTTATGTTATTCTGAACTCCTTATTCTTAGCCGGCTGAAAGCCAAGGCTATTGCTACTGACCTCTCTAGTGTGAGCACTGCTCGGGGTCCGATTGAGACACTTGTGAACTCTGACACACTAGGACTTGGTCCCCAGTCTATCCTGAATATCCTCTATTAACCTCCCTAGTGTGAGCACTGCCCTCGATTCTTGAAGCCCTTGGGAACTCTAACGCACTAGGGTCTAAGGTTCCTTGCCATCTTTGTCCTGATTGCTTAGTTTTGTCCCATTTCACTTACTGAATAAGCCAATGGGCTTGTGATATGGCTGCTTTTTTCTGAATCTTTGATGGCTACTAGTTTTTGGCGATGAAGATTGTCTTCTGGGTTGTTGTGAGCTATGTGGACTTGAAATTGAAGACCTGGCCTGGCTGGGTGTACTTTAGGCCTGTCTTAGGCCCACTATAGTTGTTTGTAACTTTGTAACTTATTTCATCGTGGGCCTGTAATAATGATGTAATAACAATTGGGGTATTAGTAAAATTAGGAAACTGAGCTTATTTTAATATTGCATGAAACGGGTAGAAATCCTGCCTATAGGTGTTCAATTT